TCAGTTGGGCAGCGAACCAAGGCGATTCCACCCACGGACTAGGAGCGACGCAGGGATACTACCCTAACGACACTCCCGCCACCGAACTCTGCCACACACTCTTTCGAGAGGTCGTCCTCCGTGGTGAACTCGTCCAATCCCGAAACTAATATCTCCACGTTTCGGGATGGACGAGCCACACTGACTCTTTCGGGGAGAGCCTCTTTCAACTTGGTGGCAAAGAGGTCCGCCTTGGATTTGCGGTCCTCCCTCCCACCTTCAATAACAAGTGCCCCTCCAGGGTCCGTCGGATATATATAAATAAATTATATATAAATATAATTACAATATAATTACAAATATAATAACAGGTGGGCTGAAAAGTTCGTAGGCTAATAAAGAAAATAATATTATTTTGATAAAATTCAATTTTTTTATTCAATATAATTGCCTTCAAGGTCAATACAGCGATTATAGCGGTCACACAATTTCTCAATACCATTTGTATAATAAGATTCGTCTTTATCCTTAAAATAGGCCTNAGTTTCAGCAATCACTTCTTCATCACTGCTAAATTTCTTTCCAGCAAGCATTCTCTTGAGGTCTGCAAATAGAAAATAGTCACTGGGTGCTAAATCCGGAGAATACGGTGGATGGGGAAGCAATTCGAAGGATAATTCGTGTAATTTTGCCATCGTTTTTAACGATTTGTGACAAGGTGCATTGTCTTGATGGAAGAAAACTTTTTTCTTTTTTAAATGAGGCCGTTTTTTCGCGATTTCATCCTTTAAAATTTCTAACAACCCTACGTAATAATCGCTGTTGATAGTCTGGTCCTTTTTGAGGTAGTCAATGAATATTATACCTTGAGCATCCCAAAATACCGACGCCATAACCTTGCCTGCCTACTGCTGCGTCTTTGCACGCTTTGGCGTCGGTTCTTCACGTGCAGTCCACTCGGCTGACTGTCGATTGGATTCTGGAGTGTAGTGGTGGAGCCATGTTTCGTCCATTGTAACATATCGACGCAGAAACTCGTTTTTATTACGTTTGAATAACATTAAACAGTGCTTCGAATCATCAACGCGTTGTTGTTTTTGATCGATTGTGAGCACGCGCGGCACCCACTTTGCACACAGCTTTCGCATGTCCAAATATTCATTTATAATGTGTCCAACGCGTTCCTTTGATATGCTTAGGGTCTTAGCTATATCGTTCAACGTCACTTTGCGGTTATCCAAAATTATTTTGTGTATTTTTTTTATATTTTCGTCCGTAACAACCTCTTTGGGGCGTCCACTGCGTGCATCGTCTTCAGTGCTCATTTCGCCTCGTTTAAACTTTGCATACCACTTCTCTACGGTTGACTTTCCTGGTGCAGAGTCCAAATAATGTTTGTCAAGCCAAACCTTGGCTTCCACAGTATTTTTCTTCGCCAAAAAGCAATGTTTTATCAAGACACGAANTTCTTTTTTTTCCATTTTTTTACAATGACACAATTTTGTTCACTCAAAATACTTTATCTCACAAACCAATTGCCCGGCAGCTGTGAAACTTATACACGTGTCTTTCGAAGGTTAGGGCTTACTAAAAATCATATGGATTTAATCCAAGTAACGTCATCTATGTGTTAGCCTACGAACTTTTCAGCCCACCTGTTACCATATAATTACAAACTAAAAACTATATTATATAACTAAAACATAATAAACATAACTTAATATTTTGACTTAACTGTTTGTTAACATAAAATAGAAACATCCTGTGAAAAAAATGGATTAGATCTAACTTAAATTTAACGAGATAAAAAAAATAAAAAAAAATGGAAAAATAGATCTAAGTAGATCCAAATTAAATCTAAATAGATATAAAGTAGACCTAAATAAATATAAAGTAGATCTAAATAAATATAAGCAGATGTATTAAATTTACATTTTTATATATTATTAAATCTACTTTAGATCTACTCAGATCTACTATAATTAAAACTACTCAGATTTAGTTAGATTTAAGCAGATCTGGACAGATCTGAGGTGATATAATATAATAGATCTGAGTAGATCAAGAGTAGATCTAATAATAAATAAAAGTGTAAATTTCCATAGATTTACTTATATCTAGTTAGATTTATTTTATATTTATTTAAATCTACTTTACATCTATTTAGATTTAATTTAGATCTAATTAGATCTATTTTTCCATTTTTTTGATCTTGTTGGATTTAAATTAGATCTAATTCATTTTTTCTCGGGTTCTTTCCACTTCTCTTATTGACTATTAATTTATTTTTTTTATAAATTTTTAATCTGATAATTCCTTTCTTTAATAATTGTTATCACTGATAATGCGGGTAATGTTACCAATTAGAAATATATGTTTTCTTATAATTTCACATATACTTATAGAATTATATCATAGTTAATTTTTTAAATTGTGACGAGGCAAACCTCGCCACCATAATACTCCCTTTCCATTATACATTAGACTATTTTCTTTTTCATTATTATTATATATTACTATTTTGTTTCTCATTTTGTACTATTATTTTTGTATATTCTTTTCTTTTCTACGTTTCTTTGTATATTTGATTCTTTTCTACTAATATAGTATTGTATATCATACCGCGCGTCTACTATAATTCCGCCGACCTTCCTATAATTCCTCCCATCTCGCGGATCGACCGATAGTTCAGAGCACGGAAGTATAGAATATAAGAACGCACGTGCACGAGCGAAGACCTGTGCCCGTGCGACACGGCACAGGTGCGTGACACAGCGCGCAAACAAGCGCGTACCGCACGCCGCTCCCGACACCGGTCGGACCGTAGGCCGCTCCGGGATATATAAGCCGGCCGATTTCGGTAGTCGGGACCAGTTCCTTTCCCGAGCTCTTGAGGCGGTGTCTTGAGAACGATTCTTCCTGAAGCCGAGGCGTTGTCTCGATAGAACCCGGTGCTAGAGGCGTTGTCTCGATCCCCTCGACACCATCCTGACCGTCCGGTCGAGGCATTGTCTCAATCCCCTCCGGCACTTCGGTGTACATCATCTCCGTCGGCTCCACGAGCCCGGAGATTCAATCGGCCGTTGTCACCGCCACACTGGAAAACAGTCGTTCTCACGACTCAAACGGCCGTTGTAACCGCCACACCGGAAAACAGTCGTTCTTACGACTCAAACGACCGTTTTCACGGCCAGGAACATCTCATAGTGTAAATACGCTCGTGCATATATACCCCGTAGATTTAAGTTTAGATATAAGCCTGCCGCGCCGACCTTATTGCCAGCGCGATTCATCTTCTCCGCGCCAGCCGTATTATCCGCGCCGAAATCACCGCGCCGATCAAGTCAACTCCGTTGTAAATACCGTTTAGAATTTAATAAATCAACGATAGATTACAGCATAAAATACCGAGTGTCGCAATTTCACGCCTTCCCCTCTCCGATCCTTGGCGCCGACCGAGCTGTCCGGCAGGCGGAAGGCCGAGCAAAGCCGATAGAAAATCGGCTCCGTTACAAAATTATGTATTTTGTTCCAGATTATGCAAGAATTATTCGCAGATAAGCCTTGGGCACCAATAGCAGGTTATCAATAGCAGGATCATATGTGACGGAAACGGAAGAAGAAGAAAATACATTACCAGAGAAACGTAAGATGAAACATATCTTGCATATAAAACAACTTACACAGATGCATTCTATATGTATAATTTCACAGATATTAGAAGAAGAAAGTTAAGTGCAACTATTGAAGAATATATATTACATGCTAAGGAAGAACAAAGAAAAAAACAACAAATTCGGAAAAGACAGCATGAAGAAAGACTAACAGCTTTTAAGCGAATAGAAAATCTATTGGAACGAGTATTACAAAAAGAAAATAATTAAATTGCTACATTAAGAGAAGTAAAAAGAAATTTCTATTTTATGTTAACAAACAGTCAAAATATTTAGTCATGTCTATATATTATTTTAGTTATTATAGTTCCTATTGTATGTGATATATATAGACTGATATGATGATGATGAGTTTATGTGATATTATATAGATTGCTGATTACAGATTTTATTTTTGTTGAATCTAAGTTCGAATAGTATGTTTTGTTAGTCATATGATTGCACTAGATATAAATGAGACATTAGAATATATATAAGAATAGGATATATGATATACAAGGTGATTCAGAACAACCCTTTATCCTTGAAATTACATTTTCTTGATTCAGACAAAATTTTGTAAAATAAAAAGTTGTTCTAGAATTTAGTCAAGAATATGTATTTTCAAGGATAAAGGGTTGTTCTGAATCACCCTGTATAAGGATACATAAAAATCAGAAAAGAGATGTGATAAGTAATAATTATTTTCTACATTTTCTTCATTATAAGTTTTATTTTTGCAACATTAAATATTGGCAATAACTATATAATTGCGTTTTTTTTTCTTTACCCTCTCTTTTTTCAGCATTATTTTCTATTTCTGCTTCTTGTGCTATATTAATATTATCATTAACAATAACAAGAATATCTATTATATCATTATGCAATAAACAAATATTGTGCAAAATACAGCACGCAACAACATACTTGGGGATTAAGTCTGTTTTTTGCATAGGAAGTGTGTCCAAAATACTTCTAAAACGACCTTTTAATAAACGTAATGATCGTTCAACGATTGTTCTGGCAGTAGAAAGACGTTTGTTAAAATTTAGTTGTCTTTCGGATAAATGATCATTATCTTTGAATGGTACCATAACATGTTTTCTTATACAATATGCTGCATCCCCAAGTATATGGCTATTATCTGGAAAATTTGCATCTGTAAACAAGCTCTCGACGTTAGATGATCTAAAAACGCGCATGTCGTGAACTGAACCAACTTGTTCTGTGTAACAATGAATAAATCGTAATTGTGCATCACAAATAACCTAAAAGTTTAAAAAAATAGTAATGAAAAATAGTCGAATCCTATTAATTAAAAAAATCATATTAATTTCAATATTACATACTAATACTTACTTGTAATTGAATAGAATAATAGCCTTTTCTTTACATATGAATCACTATTATTTTTTAGTGCATTAATTTTTATGTAAGTTCCATCTATTGCACTACTAACATCTGGGAAACCATACAATTGTTCTTTTGCATAATTTGTTCTGCTTCTTGCATAGTTGGCCAACAAATGAACATTCTCACTTTTGCATACAAGGCATTAACAACTCTATGCACACTTCGCCATGCAGTAGCTTTACCCACATCAAATCTGTCTGAAGCACATCTATAAACATATAATTTGATATTTGATGCTTTCGCGGTGTGTAGTATTAACATACAAAGATGTTTTTTCGGGTTTGAAATGCGTTAGTATCATTTTTATACCGACGTTTCGTGAACATTACAGCTCACTTCATCAGGGTTTAAAGAGCAGCCTGATACTGTATCAGCCTGAACATATAATTTATTTATTAACTATTAATACAAATTTATAAGTATAATTTAATAATTTATATGTATTGTATATTACTTACCTATACGAATTTGGTGTAGCCATCATCCAAATAACAATGAGTAATTGTTTTTCAGGTGTTATTAGTTTTCTTCCAAATCTATTGCTTTATTTACACAGATTTGGCCTTAATAATTTTAGTAAAAACTGGAAAGTATTTCGTTTCATTCTAAAACAAAACATAATTATTTTAAATTAATAATGAACAAGAAAAAGATTTCTTCGGGCTCTGAAGTCTTTAAACTAATAAATTAAACAAATTTCGGGTAGTAAGAGCCGTTTGCAGGATGTTATGCAGAATGTGCTTAAATATATGTATATGTATACACATATACGATGAAATAATTTTTTTCCTCCATATAGGATGCGGGATTTGCATTACGTATATATAGAGGACCCCGTATACCCCCCTAACTAATTTTAAAATATTGCAAAAAAAACTCCTCAGCCAGGAGTCGAACCTGGAATCTCCGGCTTTCCGGGCCGTCGCCTTCCCTGTTAGGTTACCGAGGCACTTGGAGTTTGTCTCGCAATACTTAGCACATCTATCGAATGTTGATCTGATAATAACGCCATCTTCCATCAGCGTAAATTTTAAATTAATAATGAACAAGAAGAAGATTTCTTCGGGCTCTGAAGCAGGCCCGTAACCAGGATTTTTTTTCAGGGGGGCAAATGACATTTGGGAGGGGACAGACCAAAGAAAAAAAAACTAAATAAAAAATTCAAAATACTTAAAACTCTGAAATTTTTTTTTTGGAGACAACAAAAATAAACACGAAAGATTCACAAAAAAATTCAGAAATAAGTATTTCGAAGTCCAATACCTTTTATTTTTTCACAAATTAAAAAAATAAAATAAAAAAATACTTTGAATTCTTATTTATCTAATTGAAATTATAATTATATCTATATTTTTGGATACAACTAAAATAAACATAAACACATAAAAAATTTAGAAATGTCTCGAAATTGAATTTAAAACAATTGTAACCTTCGATTTTTACGGGAATTGAAAGTTCTTAAAAATTTTTCGATGGATATTTTCTCCAATTGTTTTTTTTCAAAGGGAATGACTGTCAGATTACAAGATCTTTCAAACAACATGCTTTGCCTGTAAGGCGTCACGATTCGATTTCTGGTGCTAAACGTTGCTTCACAGGTTGCTGAGCTGCAAGCAAATGTGGCAGCCGTTGCAAAGATCTCGTAAGTTCTTTTAAAGGCATTTCTCATCCTGTACAACATTTTAAAATAATCTTCTTGGCTGACGTTATTTTCTTGAAAATAATTCTTGACGCACGTTATTTCTTCATTTGTAGGAATTATTTTTGAGATGTTAGGATGAAGGTTCCTAAAAGCATCAAGTTCGTCTCCGCTTTTGAAATTAAAGTTGTACACTTTATCAATAACGTTGAATAGCTCGTCGTTGTCAAAAAATCGAACGTCAAACAATTCCAATACCGAATCTAAGATCTCGTAATACAGTCTTTTACATTCGTCTTCACCGTTGTTATCGACTTCGTTGTTTTGCTGATATATACCCGAGCTTTCGGTCATGATAAAATCACCAAAACGCTCATTTGGCTTTATTTTTCGTTTGCTACCCCGTTCATTGTTTACTCTATCAAAACCAGCAGTTTCATCCGGTAGTAAGTTTCTACAATCTTGCATCACTTCTTCATATACTTCGTCTGAATAACGATATTCTTGAAGAGAGGAGTAGACAGCTTGTAATATTGGTAAAGCTGTAGCCAAACCATTGTCTCGGTGTTGTAGAATGCGATCTGCAGGCTCAATCGTGTTGAATATCTTTAACATAGTTCGCAGCACAAATCTAAACGATAAGGACTTCATAACAGTTAACAAACCGACGCACTCCACCACAGTGACACCATCTAATTCTTCGAATTGTTGGTTCATTGCACTGCGCAAAGCTTCGATCATTGTGGAATAATTATCATAAACAACTTCGGTTACTTTCAGATGGCCACACCATCTTTGCTCCAACAAACGACTNGTTCTTTTGCCATCGTAGTACGATTTAAACTTGAAAGTGCTAAAAATTTTATGTATTTTGCCACAGTAGTCGAAATATTGCTGCACGTTACTGATTTTTTTGACTAAATCAATAATGATTAGAATTAATGTAATCGATGATTAAAGCAATGAACATATGGAATATTACGTCCCAGCTTTTCTCCTAACAATGCTTGAACANCACCTCGACAACCGCTCATTACAGCCGCACCATCGTAGCACTGACTCAAAAGGTTTTCTTTGTCAATATTATTACCTTCCAATGTCTCCAGAATTAAATTGGCAAAGTATTCTGCCCGAATATCGTGGGCTTCTAAAATGTCTAAAAGCGATTCCGTAGGTACACCTTCTTTGACATAACGTATAACAATTGAAATGGCTTCGGCATTGTTTCTATCTCGCGTGCCATCGGCCAACACGCAAAAAAACGGAACATCAGCACTTCTAATAGTATTTGATACCTCACTTTTCACACAGGACGCCATTATTTCGATAATCTCGTTCTGGATTTCTGGTGATGTATACTTGGCGTTTTCTGGAATCAATTTCAGACAGTCTTGCAGTTCAAGGTCTTTTTTCAGCGTGTATTCAAACAGAGCTCTAAATAGACNAGTCTCACAGTGATCTTCCTTGACATAATCTCCACGTAATGGCAACTCGTTTACTACCAAGAATTGGATAATTTCGAATAAAGATGCTACGTAATATCGATGTTTACTGAGAACGTTTTCATTCACGAGCGTAGAAACTTCTTGATTTGTTGCAGATCGTAGACGGTATTCTTCCCATCTACCTACACAGGTTCGATGAAGAAAAGATTCTTCATGTTTGTAAAATCCCTTTCCTTTGTCTAATGCTTTCTTCCAGTTTTTGAATCCCNAAAAAATGAATGTTGGTTCTTTTGATCTTTCAGTTCCGGTGGCAAAAATGCGACAAGCATAACATAAGCAAGCATCAATTTCCGGCATGTATTCGAGCCATTTAAAAAGATCAAACCACTGAGAACGAAAACTTCTACCATCAGTTCTTGGATAAATCTTCAGTATAGGACGATGAATGTCATTCGGCAAGATTTCTAAAAAAAAAAAAAAAAGAAAACAAACAAATTGTTCATTATTCTGAGCTCAAAGTTTAAAATCGACTGATAGGTGAAATTAAAAAACTATTCATCTACTAAACTAGAACTGCTCACTAAAAATGAGCTTCAAATTGTTTTTAGGAATAACTTACCGGGTTTATTAGTCGTTTTTGATGATNAAACACTCGTAATATTATGGCTCGAAATTGATGGCGTCGACAAAGGCGAATGCGAATCATTCCCATTTTTATCAGTAATACTTTCATTTGTATCCTTATTCGTATTCTTCTTTCCTTTCAACTTCAACAACCAGTTCTCCATTTTGGTTTTGATTTTGATGTATTTAAAATTCAAAAAACGTATCATCAAATTCACAAATGAGGGCATTACGTATTNGATATTAAAATTNGTTAGATAAACCACCAAAGAAAACTATGATCGAACACAACACGACACAGCAATTCGAACGACGAACGCAGACAACGCAGAGTGTGACAAGATAGCACCGGCNCCGTCCAGTGATGAAAGATCGAGCCGGCCAGCACCATGAGCACCGAGGTGGTGAGAGCACGCACACAAGCGTAGTATGTATCTGCGCTCTTCCACGAGCCGAACAGTCGAGCATGACGTCACGCACATGGACGGCGGTTCTCGCTTGTGTGCGTGCCCAGTGGCTCCCACCACCTCGGTGCTCATGGTGCTTGCCGGCTCGATCTTTCATCACTGGCGCTGTCTCGTGTATGAGGTAGAGGTAGGNGGTACGCAACTACGCATACGCAATGCTGCAAAGATACACTGTCACCAGTGTTACCAATTGTAAATAAATTGGTTATTATCTGATCTTGGGTAAAAATCAAATTCATTAAATTAAAATTNTGATTCAGTGACTAAGTGAGAAAATAAAAAGAGAACTTTGGATTTTTTGGGTAATTTGTCTAGGGGGGGCAAATGGTTGTGCTAGGGGGGCAATGCCNCCCCTTGCCCCCACCTGGCTACGGGCCTGCTCTGAAGTCTTTAAACTAATAAATGAAACAAATTTCGGGTAGTAAGAGCCGTTTGCAGGATGTTATGCAGAATGTGCTTAAATATAGGGAAGGCGACGGCCCGGAAAGCCGGAGATTCCAGGTTTGACTTCTGGCTGAGGAGTTTTTTTCGCAATATTTTAAAATTAGTTAGGGGGGTATACGGGGTCCTCTATATATACGTAATGCAAATCCCGCATCCTATATGGAGGAAAAAAATTATTTCATCGTATATGTGTATACATATACATATATTTAAGCACATTCTGCATAACATCCTGCAAACGGCTCTTACTACCCGAAATTTGTTTAATTTATTAGTTTAAAGACTTCAGAGCCCGAAGAAATCTTCTTCTTGTTCATTATTAATTTAAAATTTACGCTGGTGGAAGATGGCGTTATTATCAGATCAACATTCGATAGATGTGCTAAGTATTGCGAGACAAACTCCAAGTACCTCGGTAGCCTAACAGGGAAGGCGACGGCCCGGAAAGCCGGAGATTCCAGGTTCGACTCCTGGCTGAAGAGTTTTTTTCGCAATATTTTAAAATTAGTTAGGGGGATAAACGGGGTTCTCTATATATACGTGATGCAAATCCCGCATCCTATATGGAGGAAAAAAATTATTTCATCGTATATGTGTATACATATACATATATTTAAGCACATTCTGCATAATAATTATTTTAATTGTAGTTTTCTTTTTTACTATATGAATAGATCAATAATACTATCTCTTTTTTTGTTACAATTTTATGTAATTTTTTTATTGTAATATTATTGTAGATAACAATAGATATTTATTGTGCAATATAAATGTTCTGAAATCTGTTAAATCTGCAAAGAGAGAAAGATGGAAAGTATCACTGTAACCTAACCTAACCTAATTTAAATCTAAATTACACTAACAATAATTTTTCATATTTTTTTCTCATATTATTTCTTATTTACTTACCGAAAGTGCATCTGGAATTCTTCATCTGTATACAATGACACAACATTTTCAACGTATTTTTGGCAACGCATATGTGGTATTCGATAGTAGTTTTCTTTAATTAATAATAATGGTAACTTGTCTGATTCATCTTCTTCTGAAGAATCATTATCCGATTTTATTAAAGATCTTGAAAGTTCTAATATTAGTGTGCAAGTGTTATATCCATGCTAACAATAAATAAGGTTATGTTTACATATGTCATACAGGTCTACAGTTACTGCGAATATCGTTCCGTTATTGCAGCGCTACACACGAAAAAAGTAGCGTAAGCAATAACGGAACGCTCTTACAGCTCGACTAAATGACGTCACATTATCAGTACTTACAGTCAATATCGGAACGCAGCCGAAGTAGAGTGCCTCGGGCCTTTGCCTCGCGCCACGCCTCCCCTTGTCGTTCTTTTGGACTCCGAGTGAAGCAACCCGGTGAGTTTTTTTTTTACTCAGCTTTCTACAAAGGCCTTCAGCCTGTTGACGTGCACATTCTGCGTGCGCCGTCCCGGTTTTATAGTGTAAGTGACGTCTGATGACCTTGCCAATATCACATAGGGTTCTATCCACTTAGATTCTAACTTCTTAGATCTGCCCCTTCTTAACGTTTCGTCGTAGAGCAAGACCTTTTCTCCTGCTTTAAACGCCGCCGGTTTAGCTTTCTTATTGTAGTAGCGCTTGGTTTTTTCTTTATCTTTCTTGAGTTTTTCCCGCGCCACGCGATTTGCTGCTCGCAGTCTTTCTTTCAACTCTTGCGCGTAATTATCTAAACTATACTGTATCGACGGTGGTTACGGCCGTCGGTAACTCCGCGCATCTTCCGTACATCAGCTCAAAGGGTGTATAACTCGTCGCTGTGTGTGGCGTTGTATTGCACGCAAACATTGCGTATGGCACCCACTCGTCCCAGTCCGTCTGATCTTCGTTTATGTAATGACGTATATACTCGGCTAACGTTCTATGCGACCGTTCTAACGCGCCGTTACTTTCCGGATGATAGGCCGTCGTCTGTATTTTATTTATTCGTAGCAACTTACAAACGTTCTTGAATAACTCGCTCACGAAGTTAGTTCCTCTATCAGTTAAAATTGTTTCTGGAATTCCGTGCTTGCACACAATTTTCGTCGTAAACTCCTTTGTGATTGTTGCGGCCTCTTGATTCGGAACGAGCATTGCCTTGCTAAACTTCGTGAGGCTATCCTGAAAGGTCAGCAGATATTTGTTTCCGCTGTTTGTTATTGGCAACGGTCCGACAATGTCTAGTGCGCACTTTTCAAAAGGTTTTTTCGGTGTGTCGGTAATTACAAGCGGTACCCTTATTTTTCGCGACAACTTATTCTTTTGACAAAACTCGCATCTTGAAACGTAATTTTCCACGTTGCTCGCTAGTTTAGGTCAGTCGTACTTCATTCTTATTCTTTTTATTGTACGTGCTACTTCCTGATGCGCGCCCACCGGTGAATCATGATACTCGTACAGTATCTGTCTGTTTTCCTCTTCGGTTAGCTCTTGCCTCTCGCCTTTCTCTTCTTCTGTCTTCTCGCTCTCCTTCGCTTCGCATGTGCATGCCTCCGCGGGAGCTCTACTCAGCGCGTCAGCAAAAGATTATTGCGAACGTGTTATGTCTGATTGAAACGGATCGTGTAGTCGACATTATTATTCAAAATTTACTATTTTTATTGATGAAACGTCAGACATTTCTAATCAGAAATGAATGACGTTTCTTGTTCGGTATGTTAATCTCGAAACATTAGATATTTTCTCGCAATTAGTCAAATTAATTGATATAGATGCAAAAGATTGCAGCGCGGAAAAATTATTTGATGCGTTCAAATGTGGAAACTTAAAATTCCATTTTCAAATATTGTTGTCTTGTCCTGCGACAACTCGTCTGTTATGACGGGCAAATATTTGTCGTTTAAAACAAAGAGAAATTTTGCACAAATTTATTGACATTTCCGTGTCCTTGTTATACCTCTGCGTTAATTGCTAATGCTGCATGTAGTAAGATTCCAGACTATTGCGAAGAATTTGTAAAGAAAGTAGCAAGTTTTATTAATAGTAGTCCAAAGCGATCTGCTATTTTTCAAGAATTTAGTGAGTGTTTTGAAAAAACAAATCACAAAATTCTAAAGTTGTGCGACACACGATGGCTTTCTCGACATGTATGTATTGAAAAAATTTTAAATTCTTGGGATACCATTAATAATTTTTTAACAAAAATAGTAGTAAGTGATAAAACACAGCCTGGAGAAAGTTTATTATCTGTAATGCACAAACCTGATGTAAAAGTATATTTATTATTTGTAAAACATATTTTATATTTCTTTATAATTCTTTTAATTCATGTTTTCAAGCTCTGGAAACAAGCATACAAAAACTAAAACCAAAATCACTTGAATTGTTAAATATTATATGTAAACATTTTTTAAATCCAGAGCTTTTATGTAATATAAATAATACTTTTGATTTTTCTAATAAAGCAAATCAAAAATCTTTAAGCGAAGTAAACTTAGGAAGTGAGTGCGAAAAATATCTTGAAGCTTTAATTGAACAAGGACACACAGACGTAGTTGCAAATGTTAGAGAAAATTGTTTGCAATTTTACGTTACTGCTGCCAAAGATATTTGTACTAAATTACCAATAAACGACATATTTTTATCAAAATTAAAAGTTTTTGAATTTAACATAGCTTTAAATAATAGTAACACAGAAGCTTCTTTTAATGACGTTTCTTTCGTCGCCCAAATCTTCGGTGGGTTTGACGATAATAGTTTAAGAAAAGAATAGTTTGCTTTACATCAGAGTTTTACAGAAGCAGAAAAAGATTATTTCTTAACATTAAATTTCGATGACACGTGGAAACACATTTTCTAACGTACACATAAATATCTCAATTTAAAGTTTCTTCTAAATGCCGTTAGATTGCTGCCAAATTCAAATGCCGATTCAGAAAGAATCTTTTCTCTCTTGCCAGATATAAAGACAAAGAAACGAAATAAACTTTTGTCTGTCACTGTTAATGCTACTTGCGTTATTAAATCAGCATTGAAAGCGAGAAGGGAAACAGCCATAGACATAAACATTCATGAAAAACATTTGTATCTAATGGCAGCAAACAATTTGTACTCTGCATGTCCTAAAAAACAGAAAAGTCATTTGAGATTATATGCTGCAAATGATATTGAAAATGCTGGTCCCTCCACGTCTAATATGTGCAATACTAATGTTTAAATTACTATTTTGTCTTTCTGGCATTCTATATGTCAGAAATTCACATTTATAAGTAATAATTATGTACATATTTAAATATATATATACTAGAAATATGTAACTTTATTACTTATAATACTATAACACTTTTACTTTGTCTAGCATTGTAGCATATTGTACATCTTCATTTATACATATTAAATGTGTTTATGCCTTAGTTTGTATGGTAATCTCTATATCCGATATTTACATATAAAAATAATAAATGTGTCTGGCAATCCGACATTTACATGTCTAAATAATAAGTGTGCTTAAATCTTAATGTGTCTGGTATTCTAAATATCCGACATTTACATCTAAAAATAATTTTTGTGTAAAATCTTAGTCTGTCTGGCATTCGAAATATCCGACATTTACATCTAAAAATAATTTTTGTGTAAAATCTTAGTCTGTCTGGCATTCGAAATATCCGACATTTACACGCTATTCGTGGCATCTCCTGGGTAGTACGGAAGACCACTTCTTTATAATATTACCTATAATATCATTGCAAAACGTAAAACTTATATATTACATAATTGGTGCAAAAATGTTTAATATTGTAACATGAAAGATCTCTGTAGCAAAGTTTATTTATTTATTTATTTTTAGTTCATTTTCTATGGGGAAATGCATGACATTTCATGTATTTCGAAAAATGACATTGTTATCAATTGATTCCATAAATTGCGGTGTCACCAACATGGATATCTCGATGTGTGAGACGAGCGAGAAACGTAGAACGTCACGCATCCACGTGTCTAGAGTTAACACATCGAAGCTTTAAGTTTTGCTGCTTGATCGACGTTATGATCTAATTTGAGAATATATATTGGACAATTTGTGTAAAGAATGAAATTGAAAGCCTATATTAAATATCATACCATTAAACCTCAAGC